AACCAGATATAAATAATTTATTAGTATCTACTTACTTGTGTATATTTTAGTTACATCATTACATACGCATTTAGCTACATCTTTAAAACATATTTATATGTATATAATAATATATTAATATTATGCTTTAATCCCGTAGGTGGTATGCAAGATTTCAATTACGTTTGGTACGGTTGCATGGAAGTGACATTGGAATTATCTTGTTGCAAATACCCGTCCACTTCCGAGCTCCCCAAACTTTGGGAAGAAAACCGATTGGTACGACCGTAATATTACATTCAATATTATGTTATAAGAATATATATTATTATAGTTTTTGCCGCCGTGTCCAGTGCACGTTTATTTATTTCCAAATTTGTTTTTGTTTTTAGTCACTCGTCAAATTTTTGGCCGAAGCTCACCGGGGAGTCCACGGGTTCGTGATGGATGAACACGGTAACCCGATCGAAAAGGCGTCGCTCAAGATCAAGGGTCGTGACGTAGGATTCCAAACGACCAAGTACGGTGAATTCTGGAGGATATTGTTACCAGGCGTTTACAAGCTCGAGGTCAGTAGAACCTAATTATATATTATTATATTTTTTATACAATAGACACCTTTAATAATAGGCACATTTCCAACCTAGTAATTTTTGGTTCTATAAAATCAGTAACAAATACATTCATTTTGAGTATCACAATGATTTTATATTTGATAGGACTATAAAAATCATAGCAACATAATTGTAAAAAAAAATGTCTACATAGAATTCAATTAAAAATGTCAAGGTACTTATTTTATAAAATATGCAACTATTATATTATGCATTTATTTAGAAATATGGTAAAATATGAAAGTAATCATCCTGAACATTAATGTTCTAATCAAAATGACAAAATCTACATATTACAAAACTTAATTGATTTTCAATCGGTATTTAAAACTGTACAATGTACTTATACAAATAGATATGCATTTTGGAAATTGATTTCACGTAAAACACTCATTATATTAATTCGAGTATATATATAATATACTCCAATGGTGCACAACCAATACTTATACCCATAGGTGCATAGATACTTATTCGAATAGTATGGGGAGTGGGGGCTTTGCCGATAGACGACGAATGGCAAAGATTAAGTTGGTTTCGTATACCTAAGTTACAAAAGGGCGATCGAGACGCTGAGATGACTAACTACCCTCCCGCATACGGCATAAACCACCCCAACACAAATCACAATCTATATATCATTATAATACATCCCAATGGTGATTTCAGATATACGGAGACGGATACATACCCAAGGAAATGGACTTCATGGTCGTGGAACAACACCCCACGCTGCTGAACGTGACGCTGCACACGTCCAAGGTAGGTGGTCCACCGGCGAAAAAGCCGCGTCTAAAACCCTGGCAACCGCCGTGGATGACCGGCACTCGGGACGAGACGATCTCCGTCCGGGGCGCATCCCTGAATTCCAGCAGAAACTGGAGGGACGGACTGAGGGCTTACTGCAGCGACGCGCGTTCGACGTCGCGCAGCTGGCACGCTAGAACCGCGGCCGTGGTGGCGGTCGTGCTTTTCTCCGGGTACCGCAAATAACCGCTTTTCGCGATTAAAACACAACAATGTATTGTTTAATTTATTGTATACTGCAGAGAGGACGTAGTGCTAGCACCTGTTGTACCCGCATTACTAACGCATATAATAAACCTAACATGCCGCCAAAATATATAGGTACCTAGGTACCTACCTACGTTCGGCGGTTGCGATTTTGTGTTGTTAGCTTTAATAATATTATATTAGAGTGCATTATTCGCACCTGCTACAGTGCTACGGCATTTAAAGTTAAGAATATCTGAACAGTTATATTATATACCTACATATGGCACATATCTATGTTCTCTCTTTGGGTTTTTCGATAGTTAAGTAATTACACAAGTTAGAAGTGCCTACCAGTAGCCAGTAGGTAGGTATGTAAAATATGAATACCTACTTGTCTAAAAATGCTCATGACTCGACTAAAAACTAAAATGCCTACCTATCTTTGAAATCCAACATAAGAGAGTACAGATAATGTTCTTACCACCTACCTTTAAAGTTTAAATTCACTTTAATATTATTAAAAATAACACAGAGGTGTCAACGTGTCATGTTTTGTCATATGAAATAATTGATAAAGCAATTAATGTATATTTACCGGCTACCTACCCGCTATAAAACGTGGTCTGTCAATAGTCAAAAATTCACATCCCAGCCTCCCTCCATTAAATAAGCTGAGCGCTCCACTGTTTGCTGTCTCTTGATTTGGGGTCGCCAACGGTGTGAAGCCATACTATAATGGGTTTGGTTGCGTTTATTATAATTATTATAATATTTCGTGGCGTATATCCGTTCACATCGTCCCGATAGGGATGCAAACAGGAGTTAAAGTGGGGGGGGGCGCAGGAGGACTCAGTCCCCCTAGCTCTGACGGCGGTTAAAAAGCGTCCCCTTTAACAAATTAGGATTTCATACATTACACATTATAAATAAAATTTTATATGGAACGTTTAACACTATATGGAGACATTAGTCCTCTTTGGAATTTTTTCACACTTTAACCCCTAGACTTAAACGTATCTACGTTATAATATAGTCTACGTAGGTACCGAATCCGAATGCTTCGAAAAAGATTCATTAAGACATATCTTTGGAAAAGTTGTACTTTTTATTTCAGTTTTCTCGTGACCAGCACTCCACGCACACTTCTTTGTTCCTTTGCACAACTCATTACCTAACGCTATTGTGAATTATTATTTATTATTATATGGTAGTGCGTTTCTATATTGACGTAAGACACATCAATCATTACAAAAAAATATTATCAAAAAACGTTTTAAACAATCATAGGCGTCTTACGTTGATGAATCACTGGCACTAAAAACACACACCACTAAGTACCTACTAACTACTTACTGATTTTGTTAATATAAATATATAATACATAGTAAAGGTGTAACAATATCATTACATTGATCTATCCTCTTTAAATACATTTTTTTTTTTAGTTAATACTTGTGTATACTCAGTATTATAGTATTTATGTCTTATTGACTAGAATCTAATCACTATAGATGAATAATTATCAAAACTTTCTTTTTTTTTGAGTAGATAGTATTATTCACTATGTTGGCATTGTTGCTAATTTTTAAAAGTTATGAATGTGTTATAAGTCTATGCATATCCAAAAATAATATCAGTGTTGTTATTACTTATTAGTGTAATTTAAATTGTTTTTATTAATTTATAAGTGCTTAACTATAAAGGCAGTTAAAGAATAAAGGTTAGTAGTTACCTATGTAATAGAAGGTTAAATTTAAGGCTAAATATACATATGAAAAAATAATACATTATTTATGACTAATTGGAAAATATAAGATACTTAAAATTTTAAACTGATAAATCAAATTTTTGAACATGTATTAAACTAGAAAAACAAAGAACATTGTATTTGAAGTGTCTTAGGTACCTATTAAAACAATATTAAATGGTACAAAATATAATCAATACATTTTTATCTGAAAGTATAATATTATCAGTCATAATAATAATATAATTGTTTTGTGTTGTTTAAAAAATATATTTTATGTATCATGGTTAAAAATTACATATTTAACAAATATGAATATATTTTGTATGTAGCTTGCTAATTGTACTTAAATGTCATACATCATAACAAATATGGCATCAAATGCATCATATTAATATTATGTAGATAGGTACATCAACATTTGTATATCTTAAAATAGTGAATAAGTTGTTAAAATATTTGATACTTAAATAAAATATAATTTTTATTTAATCTTTACATATAATATTGCTTAGTACTTATCAGTGGCTAACATTCATTGGTTAACTCTATGCTACCTTGCTTTTTATGACACGCATGTAGATTGATTTCTGAATTAACAACTTCCTACTTAACAATAATAACTGGTGAATATTTCAAATGTATTTTCTACAACTATTATTCTTTGCATACATGTACAAACTCAAGTGGTTACAGGTGTTAAGGGAAAATACAATTTCTGCATTATCTTCTACTACTATTACTACTACTGCTACTTCAGATGCAAGAATAAAATTCCCTAATTCTAACTGATTTTGAATTTGAAGTTTCTCTTCTTGCCTTCAAAGATGTTTCGTAAGTAATACCATTGATCATAATTACAGGTATTTTTCATCAATGGTAATATGTACAAACATTTTCATATTAATACATGATAATATATTGAATATACAATTTAAATTATATAAATACATTTTTATTTATTATTATTATAAGCATTTGTTTAATGATTTTATTATAAATGTACTTTCAGAGGCAGGATAATACACCTTACAGACAGCCAGTTCCTCATTTCTATCATCATCATCATCCACAAGGTATAGCATTGGCACCTAAACAACCGACTCAAGACCCTGGAATATTCTCAAGTATTACATCTGGTTTCAATAACTTTGTCAGCAATATGTTTGGATAACCTAATTCCTATCCAAGAGCCCCTGATTCCCTAATAATAAATAATGAATTATTATAGCCAATATACGATCTCTAAGCTATAAGACACTCAGCTTTTAGGTTAAGTTAAGTTTTTCCCTCCAACAAATAAATACTTAATTAAACCATTGTAACAATTTTAATATTTTACCTCCTACTTAATAATACTTATTTATTGAAATTATTATAAATTATTACGTTAAATACTATATATTATATTATTTTTATTATATATATATTATATATTATACAAAGTAAAGTATAGTTAAATAGTTCAGTAATTTTTCTATGGAAATTATTTTATTATTTTGTGTACATAATATGAACAAAAATTATAATAATAATAAATTATGATTTATTTGTTTTCTTTTTTTCTTTTGATATATTCACAAATTAAAATCATGAAAAAAATTACATGTAAAAAACAAAAAATGCCAACTTAAGAATATAATACTTAATTGTGCAGTCAGTCTTCAATCATCAGCGGGTTTTAATTTTGATCTTATCATATGGAAAGCACTGATTAAACTACCAAGATGTATTTTTTCACTTGTTCCACCATTGAGACGTATTTCAATATCAGCCATTTCAGTTAGTATTTCAATGAGAGAATCTGGTGGTAAATCCACTAAAATTTATAAGAAATATTATTAGGCAATAGTTATTATAATATATATTATAAACACCAAATAAATATTACATTTTTTTATAAGACCATTAAATAAATAATACTTACATCTATATAAAAATGTGTGCAACTCCGTTAATATGTCTTGTAAAGCCAAACCTTTCTGAATTTTCAATTCTTGAATTTCTATGACAAACATATAATTTATTTTACACATCTATTGATTTAATCGAGCAGTTATGACAATTTACTTTTGAAGGTAGTAGAAAAGTCATCATTTAACAACCATTTTAAAATATTCATAATGTCACTTTTTAGTGGATGACCAACACATGTATATACGGAATCTTCGTTTACTTCTGGAAATGCAGTAGCAGCACTTTGTAATATGTTAAGAACTTTTCGCATATCTCCTTGTGCCAAATCTATCAATGCTTTTTTACCATCTTCAGTTACTTTCACTCTAAGCATCAAATCAAAATAAATTAAAAAAAAAAATTTCAATTAAAATGTAGAAAACATATAGGTACTAAAGAAAGTGAGATACCATACTTTTCTTGTTCAACAACATATTCAAGTCTAGGCATGATCTGTTTAGAATCAAGTGGACCAAATCGAAAGCGTGTACACCGAGACTGTAATGCGGGAATTATTTTACTTAAGTAATTGCAAATTAAGCAAAAACGAACATTGTCAGTAAACTTTTCAATAACTAAAAAGTTAACATAATAGTTATGACATTTTTATTTAATTATTTAAATTATTAATATTTTAAAGTTCATATACTTCTTCTTAGAGCATTTTGGGCATCATTAGTCATAGCATCAGCTTCATCCAAAATAATCAATTTGAAACCTGATTTGAAAATTGTTCTGGTTGATGCAAAGTTCAAAACTTGTCCTCTGACAACATTAATTCCTCTGTCATCAGAAGCGTTCAATTCAAGAACCTAAACATGTAAAAAAATGTATTACACACTTCAGCAGAAAAAAAAACTAAATTAACATAATATTAATATTTACTTTTATGGTACAGTGAGTTGATTTATTTAAATAAAAAAACAAGAATAAAGTTAAAAAATGTGATAATCACCTAATCTATTATTAGCAGTGGCGAGCTGAACGTTAAATTTTTAAGCAATTGCTTCAACTTTTCAAAGGGGGTGGTGCCACCCCATGACTGTGGCGCAGAATTACATGCTAAAGCCTGACCTCTTAGATCTTTTGATCACATTTTATTTACATCATAACTTTGTTATAAGTGTAAATAGGATGGTATAGTGGTGGTGGTAAGTATTTAATTATGAAAATGCGTCATTTAAAATTGAAGTTCAGTCCGCCACTGATCATTATGCTTTGGTTTTGTTAAGTTTATTATTTAATACTGTATACAAAAATCTATATACAAGTTTTAACCTTTTATAGACATTTTCTTTGGAATTAACTTCTAATATTATATTATAATGAATAATAAACTATTTTTTACAATTTATGGATTATGTTACTATGGGTAACAGCATTACTATCAGTAATACGATTTTCTATAGAAATGTTTTACTAGATTTTTAAGATTCATCATTTTTTTTGTCTGATAAACAAGTGAATGACAGTTTGAAAGAAAGCAATTTTAGGTCAATCTACAGAGAAAAAATTTTTTTTATTCATTGTCCCCCAAAAGTAAATATTCTGCCGATGAAACTCAATAAACAATAACTATAATATAAATGTTGGGTCTGGTATGTCAACCATGTGTGGTGTGGTCAAGCTATCTTCCAGCCGGGCACATCGTCAAGTAGGGGCCTCAGGGGGCCTGGCCCCCTAAAAAAAGGCAGCGGCCCTAAACTGGCACCCTTGTTTTTGATTTTTAAATATTATGGTGTTTAATTATCCCATACCGGCTAAATCCTGAATGTATAACTCCATATAGTTAACAATCGTATAAGAAAAATTAAATTCCAAGATTCTATTTTATAAAATATATTCGTCACTCGACAATTTTAAATAAGACAATAATATGTATATTAATAGATTGAAAACTAGCAATTCCAAACACGGGTATCGAACGCACATTTGATTAACACAAATACAAACAATACTATATAATAGTGAACCAATAAAATAAAATAAACAAGCCCAACAAAATAATATGTCCCAATAAAATATTATTCTCTATCGAATTTGAGTATTGATCAAGCAGCGTGCTATCGTCGCAGTATATATTGTATATTATACAGTTCATATTGTTTACAAGGCACAAGTATAAGAACCAATAAACAATGAAGAGAGCTTTAATAAGTTACTTTAATAACCCAAAAAACTTAAGAACCGAGAAAGGTACAATAATTATACATAATTTCGATAAATATTATCTATCCAAGTCTTATTTACTTACATTTTATATTTACTAATTATTATAGTTATTTCTTTATTAGTTAATAATATATTAATGTATAATTTTGGATATTCTAACATTAGATAGGTAGTAGGTACATATTAATCTGTATTAATTAATAGATGAATATTATTTAGCCATTAGGTACTATATATTATACATATTTTAAATTTTTAAGACATTTTATACTATATTATTGTTGATAAAGTTAAGTACCTATTTAATTTTATTTTATTATTAAAATGATAATTATTTAATATTGTTTTAGTGCATTATAACTTGCACACTGTTAATCTCAAAACTATCTGTATAAAGTATAATAATATAGTATATTATATTATATCGGAGGTATTAATGTATATATTTCTGGACTTTTGGTATTTGGTGACAACATTATTTTCATAAATTGTATTAATCAATTAATGATTTTATTCATGACATTTTGATTTACCTAATTGATAATATTATAAATAATTTTTCATACTAACAAGTAGGCACCTATTTATTATATTTTTATTATTGTATATTAATGTATAATAAAAATATAATGCTTAACCAATACAGACAATATATTGTGAAAATGAGTGATATTGGGTATAAAAAACAGAAAGGGGCCAAAAAATGTTGGCCCCTCTTGTAGAAAAATGTCTGGCTACGTGCCTGCTTCCAGCGTGGGTAATCAACATGAGTTTTTGGTGACGAATCCATGCGTAATATAAAAATACGTGTTCCTCAACCAACCGTAACCCCCTTCATAAAAAGCTAAATTCCATAGATGCCAAAGCTCTAAGACCAAAAAAAAAATAACAATTATACCCATTATAATATTGTCAATATATGTACAATATACAAACCATTGAACGAAACTGTGCTGGAGTATATAATTGCTTGGCACATGCTAATATCGTACTAGTTTTTCCAGTCCCCGGAGGTCCATAAAATAATAAATGAGGTAACTGATCTTCTTTAATGAATTTACCAACTATATAGATTTACATAATATTAATTAATTTGTTAATAAAAATAAAGGTTCTCATGCATTACTTGTTTGGATAATGTCTTCATGTGAGATCAAATCATCTAAAGTATTTGGTCGATACTTTTCTACCCTGTGATCATAGTATAGTAAAAATTAACAGATTATTTAATAGGTAAATTAAGTTTTAAAATAGATATATCTTACCAAGGGAGATTGGGTTTTGCTTTCATCATTGTACCTATAAGATGTTAGATGTTGCTATAATCTCAATTATCTCAGGATTTTAAAAGTATTTGACGACAATTAAATTTTTATGAATTTATGGATTCAGATTGCAACAGCTAACAATTAAAGTTTCATTACTTTCATTCTGTAGAACACTGGAACCGTTTTATTTATTAAAATAATTATCAATAATTTATTTGTTAAATTTTCAATTTTAGGTTAAAATTTGATAATGGTTTCAGTTTTGGCGCCAATGTCTTTTATTATTATGATTATCTAATATGATAAATTTCATGACAAAATCAACCAATCAGAAGTGGAGATGGCCGGAGGTGAAGGAGATCCGCATACAAAAAAAAATATAAATTTATAACTATTTTTACCTACATCGTGTATTATACCATAGAACAGTATACCTAACTATTTTGTCATATATTTACCCTTCGTGTTTTTACTTTTTAATACAAATCTAGTTTAGCGCCCACACGAGTTTTTAAATTTTTCGTGCAAAAATTAATTTTTAGAAATCATGAGGACGTGATACCCAAAGTGTTACGTATGCAACGGCCGAGAGAACGCGCTATTAGGTGTTTTCGGGATCCGCAAGCGCGCGACGTCTAAGCCCCGCCTACTACTCGCAGTCGGCGGCACTACTGGCACTGCTCATTCAGCGTCTCGGGAGCGCCGATTATTATTTCATGAACGTTCGACTGTGATGTATCCCGTCAATATAAAATTCACACAGTAAACGTCGCGGTATTATTTGTAATATCCGCGCGTACCCATTCGAACTATCTTTTTTGAAAAGTTACTGCTTACCTAAATATATGCACCAATATATAGACTGTAAAAACAGCAACACAACATAGCTTAGTTTGTAGTTATTGCACTAGTACTCATTCAAATATAATACATACAGTAAAATATAATTTAACAGTACCTAAACAAATACATCTTTTACGTTCAACTGTTCAATATTAAATTATTTTTAACTTCAGCATAATTTGCATTTTCCCATTTCTTAGCATCTTTCCGTTTATTAACAACTAAACTTAAAAAAAAAAATTATACAAATAGTAGTTTACAAATTAGTAATACATGTATAAAAAAAAATGTATATTATGTACAACTTGTAGTTATTATGAAGACTAAATTTTGTTTGTTTTTTTTTTTTCATAATTTTAATATTTTTAATTATGTGAGGAGGTTCAATAATGTCGCTTTTTAATTGACGTTTGCTGTACTGAGGGTCTACTATTTTTTTTAAAAGTTACTGCTTACCTAAATATATGTATCAATATATAGATTGTAAAGACGGCAATACAACAAAGCTTGATTTATATTTCCAAATTTTTAAGGGCAACGAAGTGCACGGGATCAGCTAGACAGTATATTTATATATACCAATTTTGGTAATCCAATAGATATAGATTTTTGTATGATTCGATTACTGGATAATTTACTTATTATTATATTACAATAATAATTATATTAAAATAAAAACAATTAGAAGGTATAATACTATGATACGTATAATATGCATGTTACAATTTATTAACATTTTACAATAATAATATTACTGAGATACGTCTAGTATGATTTTGTTTTTATTTTTGATGTTTTCCGATATATGTGTAGGTTCGAAAATGTCAGATTTTAATAGTCTTTTTCCATACCGTGGTTCAACCAATTCTGGCAGAAGACATTCTTTATAAAATCTGTGAAATAGGTATATTATTACAATTTATTCATTTTAATTTATAACTATTACAATTTACACATTTTCAATCTTATGTAATAGCTAATAGGTATTTCAATGCAACAAACTATATAGGTTAAATTGTATTATTTAAATTTTTGTAAACATACGTCTCTAACTGAATATCCATTTTAGAATACCAAAATCTTTCGTCGTAATCGATTACGTCATATTCAATCCATTTTTCGGAGTATACAACAAAATAACATACATTCCTTTTTGTTATTTTTAATTGTCCCTGTACTTGATAATAGTATGAACTAGTTTTTTTTAATTTCATTTTCCCGTCTACAATAGTTACATAAGGTATCTGTAAATTATCAAAACAATCATATTACTAAAATATTTATTAAATTAATTAATATTCTGTATTTCTGTATACCTTTTTATTGTCGACCGCTGTTTGTAATTCATTCGTATCTTTGATCGAAAAAGGACATTTAATTTCCAAAACAGCTGTATTGCCAATTAAACCATCTGAGTATATAAAATATATATTTAAATATTAGTTGTATATTATATCACATTATCACCCCCAAACAACTAGTTAGTTATCGTAAAACTTTGATTTCTTAATACATCGTACTTACCAGGGCTAGCGGCTAAGTATGGTTTATCTGCGTCAATAAACAAACCACAATCCATGACTTTAAGATTTGTTAATTTTTCAAATTTTTCTTTTGCGATGACTTCAGTAATTTTTCCATATTCCATCGCTCGGGTTGTAAAATTACCATATAATATGTCATATACGGTTCTTTTACAGGATGTAGTTGGACGCATCTTACAAACTTTACCAAAGTTTGACGCAGTTAGTCTGTTTCTCCGTTCAATAAACCACTTTTGGTTGTCAGATTGATTTCGCGTTTCCAACTCGATTTGTTCTCTGACCGTTATGGGTAAGGTAATTGTTTGAATGAATTCAATTTTTTTATTTTTCAACTCGTCAGTAGGTAATAAATTATCTAAAGGTTGAGCTAGTCCATAATTTTCATCTGGACCATTGGACATATTTTTTTTTTTGTACATTCCAGATGCTCGAAATAGAGCTCGGCGTGTTTTTAAATTTTTTCTTTTATCTGCAGGATACTTTAAATATTTTTTAGCAACGATTCCTACAATAAAATTAAAAATATTTATTTATTTATTTTTATTATAATTTACAATATGAATTAATTTGAAAATATAATAGAGTACCTGGACTTTTGTTAGTGATATTTTTGTGGATTTCTCTTATCAAATTACCATTTGAGTTAAAAGCTACCACAGCTGCATAAACTCGAGTAGTATATGATTGCTTTTGAGAAAAATTAATTCTCTTTCCCGCGATGTGTTTGTTGATTAGGCTGTTGAATTGCTCGCAGATATTATTATCCACGTCAAGTAACAAGCTTTTAGAATTATTAACTACACGACGAAGAGCAGTGGACATTTCAGTCATTAACCCGCATTTTATGACTTCTGATACAATATTTTGCTCTCCAATTTTTTTTCCCGTGCAAAAATATTTGTCACACTTGGAGTGTTGACCAAAAATGTGATATTGGCTATTTAAAATATCATTACGTAATCCTAAAAAAAATGTATTTAAGTTTAATTTTAAATTTAAAATTTGTAAAAAATTTGGAAACTAATAATCTCGCTAATAATGTTTACCTTCAATTTTGTTATAATGTGATTCATCAATTCGATTTCTATACTTTATTGCTTTTGTTATAGCTGTCCGAAATCTTAGTACATTCTTTGATATAAATTTTCGTATAAAACCCGGGTACTCAGTTTTCCTTGTTAAATGCATTATTTTTTGTCCATAATTACGAAGTATGTGATTTCTACATTCAATTTTCTCAATTAAAAATGTAGGTCCATACGGCATAACTTCATTTAATCTTTTACAAACACTACTATCTCCGTCTCCTGAAGAAAAAACAAATAAACATCATGATATAATAATATGTGATTTTATGATTCATTATAGCAGTATATTGTATAAATATGTTGGTACATTTTATTTACCAATTAACTGTTTAAATTTTAAACCGTGCATTTTAACGCTGCATAAAAATCCTTCTGCTATAGCATCGGCTTCTATGCTGGTAGCACCATTCTTCCAATTTAAAAAGCACTCGTGGGTCATGGGAGATTTACCGATGGTTTTCGCTCTTTCGCAAATCACACAGTACCGATTTCTTATTCCAATAAATAATATTTTTTTCGTCCGAAATCCAATTATAGTGGCCTGTAGATAAGTACCAAATTATATGACTAATGTCCAATGTTGGAAATAGATAACTAAAAATGTATCTAAATTCTAAATAAAGATAAAAATCAATGTACTAAATTTTATATAGATAAATATAAAAAGGTGGGCAAGTGGATGTCGCTCTGCTGTAAATTGAAAAAAAATTATGCCTAATATGTATTTTTAATATTTTTCATCTGCCTTTGAAACAATATATTAGCAGCTTTCTATTCAATTCTCATGCTTTTTTACCCAATAAATAAAATTTTATGGACATTTATAGAAAAAAAATTAAAAAAGTTTTAATCTGAATATGTCCGTAAACAGTTCAAAACAAATCAAAATATTTTGAAAATTATATCGTGTATAGTAAATGCTAATATAAACAACCAGTGAAAATGTCGTGTATCTACGGTATTTTTTTTTAGAGTTACACCAAAAACTGACATCGAATTTTCTCGAAAATCTATTTTGCGTAAAAATTCCCGTTTTTCCTTAATTTTTCCCTGAGCTTTTGAAAACTATTGGGAATTTTAAATTTTGACCTCTCAAAAGTACCAACTAGATTCATTTTCCCGTCGAACAAGATACTAAAGCTGAAAATCAAATCATTATTTCGACTACTTTGTACCGTATACAATGGTTTATCACTCGATTCAAATAATTTAGCACATCCATCACAGTGACGAGGTGTACTCGTCGTCTACTATATACAGCAGAGCTTTTTAAAAATGTATTTAAATTTTTTTTATTTATTATAACACAGTTAAATATTACCGCTCCTGAAAATGCGTCGTATTTCGTCTTGTAGCTGCGCTTACTCCATTGGCCATCAGCAACAACAGGGCACATAGGTATACCATCACTATCTATATCACCTGCCTCAAAAGCCAACTTTTTTTCTTCTATACCAGCGAGTTCCATAACACTCCATGCTGTAGTTTCCATATGCATACTTATTTCCTCACTATATTTTATATATGTCGAGGGGGCCATACATGGAACAT